AGATGAGTCTTGTATAGACGAAACGCGCACAGGACGCACAAAAACTAAAAGTGTGACATCTTTGATGATTTGTTTGGTAAAATTACACTCGCGGGTATATTTCTTAGACGCAGGTATATTTCTGGCGTACAGAATTTTAATTCTGGCATCTATGACGAATTTACGTATATTCTATTTCGTGTTATGTGAGTTTTTATGTTTGTAGATAGAATGGGAAAAGCGTTACATGCAAGACACTTACAAGTAAATTGATATATGTCCGATTTTTAATATTTAATACGGTAATTGGGGAGATTTTTTTATTATGTTTCTTATATGATATAAAAAGTTTGACAAAAGAGAAGGGGGTTATAAACATTTTCAAAAAATATATTTTAATTCAATTAATAACGAATGAAAATAAAGTCGAGTTCACCAAATTTCAAAAAGTCACCGTTTAAAATATTTTTTATTATTTTTTTACCAGGCAAAACGGACAGTAGACTCGGCAAATGCAACCATCGTTAACTATGCCATGGGATGTTCAGCAGATAAATGTGACGACAAATTAAACATAACTGTTTCCGGAACTGTAAACGTCACTATTGGTTGTTGTCAAGCCAATTTGTGTAATGGCGTGTTCGACAACAGTGAAGGACAGCTAGTGAAATACAACCTCTTACTGTCTGTGCTTTGTATAGCTATAAGTCTTTTCTAATTAAATAGTATAAAAGGCTTACTGCATATGTAAAATTATTATGCGGTTTCTGACGATCAAAACCATCCAGTAGGAACTCTAAGGAAAAAAATCTTTTCATTTAAAATGAAAAACAATGAAAAACTTATATAGGTGATATTTGTTCAATTAACTAATATTACACATTTAGTTATCAAAGAGTTAAATAAGTATATTCAAAGATAATGACAAGTAGTAAATATTATCTCTTGAGAATTTTGTTTCATGCACATTCATTTTATAATCTCTCGTTTCCAAAATCATAGTTGAAATTAATATCAAACTTCTTCCTGTATAATGACGGGGGTTAAGCCTGCAGTTGTAGATTGAATTCAATAGAAACCCATTATAGCTCTTAGGTTCTAACTAGTGTGTAAACCATAACAATCTCTAAGTAAAATTTTTCAATTAATTACATTTATGCAAATCTAGGCAAACTTAACTGTAAATGACGTCTTTATCAAGATTGATACAATGGAATTTTACCTCAACTTTTATGTTTAATGTTAAATGTCAGATATTATACAATTGCAAAATTCATTTTTATTTGTTCTTGAACACCTCCACATTTCATGACCTTGTTCACAGGCCACACGAAAACACAGTAGCTGTTATTTTTCATGCCTTTTGTAAGAGTCCCTTTCCACATTAAAAGACGTTTTAGGAGATTAGATGATGATATAACATATATCTATTTTCCTTTCCTTATGGTACTCAATTGTGTTAAAACGTAATAATAAAAAAAAAGCATTCCCCCAAAATACTTTACATTTTTGAGATGGTCATAGAAATACTGACATGCATATACGCCCGAATTCCATAATATTCTAAAGATAAGGTATGAATTCATGATGGATGGTAATCTTTTTCTCATTTAAGTAACTTTAAATTGTATAATTATATATAATAATTTTAGCATCCATCTTACATTTTGCTTTATGATCAGAACGTAGTATAGTATGTTAACTTCGACTATAGCTAGATAGCTAAATTATTTTGACTGTGTAGTTTGTATTTGTGCATATATTCAGTGAAATTTCGATATTCGGTACGGAACCGAGATCGTAGAATATGAGATCGAACTGTTCAAGCTCTTTCTGCAAGCACTTTAATTTTTGTATCTTTTCCATAACAGTGGAAGTTAAACAATCCATGAAAATGCCTTCTGTCCTAGTAAATTAGGTTTTGCTTCATATGAAGTTATCGAAGCGGAACATGACTTCTGCTGAGGTGACGTTGCCTGTTTACCTTTTTTTATAATCATTTTTCGTTATGATCATATTTGGCAAATGTGTGTGTTGCTCCTTGTTATTCACAGACAACAATGAAGACAGTTGTAGCTGTCAGCCTATTGAAACACAGACAATGATGATGATGATGATGATGGATGGAAGGCTTTTTGTCCAGTGGCAAATTGAATGCATATTCAGGACGATAACATAGTAATGTGATTTGAAAATTAAACCTGCTTTCTACTAAATCGAAAAAATTATTTTACATTACACTCTAGAAAATTAATTGACTTTAGACGTGAAACCTCCTTCACTATATAAGATATTGTTTGTTTGATAAATGCAGCATTTATTTTTATAGATAGTGTTGATTGTGCAATTGTTGTAAGTGTGTGTCGTATATTCAGGATTGCTTTTTCTTTAAAGAAGTCTAACTGCATCTACAACTTTTTTTTTATCTATAAAACATTTATGTAGATTTTAATAATAAAATAATTATAGTTGCTGTATTGTGTCATTTAGTTAACGGAGTCGCATTTTTGTCAGTTTTGTAGAAGAACAACAAAAATAATTATTCTTTCCACATATATCAACAAGGTTATGGAACTTGTGGTAAACGAGTGGGACAGGCAAAACCGTAACATAAAGTATTAAACTATATAAATATATGTAACTGAAACCCAACACTTGAGATCAATGCGTAAGCACTGAAAATGTCACGACTTCAAAGACAACAACAAGAGAATACTAATAACAAATTCATTAAAGATGTGGACTTTAATAATTAAATTTCCGTAGACAAATCGCGCGTTTGGCTCACAGGACTGTAATCCTCGTATCTTTGATGTTTTTTTTTTATTGGTATCTATAATACCAAAGTAAATGACAACATTTTAAAACTCTTATCGTATCTCAAACATTTCATTCTTATCAAAACCAAAACCTTCAAAGACAAGTAATATAATTCTAAAGGAGAGGCAACAGATACCAAAGAAACATCCAAACTCATAAGTTGAACATTAACTGACAACGCCATGGCTTCAAAAGAAAAAAAAAAGACGAAAAGACAAACAACAGTATACAAAACACAACATAGAAGATTAAAACTGAGCAACACGAACCCCAACAAAAACCGGGGGTGATCTCATGAGCTCCGGAAGGGCAGGCAGATCCTGCTCAACATGTGGCACCAGTCGTGTTACTCATAAAAGTACAAACCTGGTGATAAGTCTAATTTGATAGGTCATAAAGAATATTAATAGCACAAATCCTTGAACACAAACGTACCATACACGTTGCTGCTCTTATCAATAGGAGCACAGAGTCCCATGTTTGGTACGAAGTCTCTTTGCGATTTGACGAAACGTTAACTCTGTACATTATTTTAAAACTGCTCAAAACAATTTTATTATTTTGAGACGAAATGTTCGAACATTGCAAATCATTTTTGCAATTTTTCTGATAGTTTTTTTTGTGTTGGATAAAAACATTTTGAGTACTGATCAAAGCGACTGATTTGATATGTTATAAAACAGTTACAGTCTTCTGTATAAACAGTAAGAAGATACCACGGAGTAATCCAAAACATAAGTAGAAGAGGACAGACAACATAATGGTCAAAAAGAAAAACGATATATGGCATTAATTCATAAATCTAAATACAAAAAGCAATGGACTGAACGACACGAACCAAACCCTAACCTGATATGAACAGGAAGAGTGAATAAAATAGTTCATGCTCCATTGTTGACTTCAGTTCTGTTACTCATTTCAATATCATATAAGAATATAAAAGTCATCGTTGATTATAAGGCTGATGAAATATCTGATTGATAGGTTTCTCTTTCTTATATTCTCCGTTTATAAATTTATAAGTTATAATTGTTAACTAAGGTTTCAACTCGGAGTCTCCTTCAGTTAAAGTTGACTGTAGATGGATTTGGGCATTATTTTTATGTCTTTGGTGGTCATATGGCTCTCTAAATGTTTCAGTTCTTATACATAATTGGCTTTCAAATATTCTGCGTTGAGCGTTTCTAATAAAGATAATTCCCAAAAAGAGTTTCGGACGCATGAAATTTATAAATTGTTGTTTTCAATTTTTACCACACCAGGTCGATGCAGCTGCTGGTGAACTATCAGTCTCCGAGGGTATCATCAGATCAGTAGTCAGCACTTCGGTACTGTCATGATTTATAACAAATCTTTCTTAAATTGCCCGTTTATAAATTTATAAATTATTAGCAACAGTTTAAGTCCATCGGGCAAAGTTGACCTCAGATGGATTTGGGTATTATTTTTAGGTCCCTTTTAGTCATATACCTCTTTAACTTTTTCGGTTCTTATACATTCTTGGCTTTCATATATTCACCTTTGATCGTTACTTTTAAAGGTTATTTATAAAATGTTTTTTTCATTTTTTATCTAACTTAGCCTAAGAACAAATTCATATACTATCGGTTTATATAAAGTTATGCTATTTAACTCTGAAACATGATTGAATGTGATATGATGTGATTTTATAACTAGATTTTCAAAAAGATACTACAGAGATATTGAAAAAAAACAACAAAATTATTAGCATCAGAACAAAACAATAGAGACTTTTATGGAGCTCAGTATATGTGAGTTTTTATGGACTTCAACATATGTGAGTTTTTATGGACCTCGGCATATGATAGTTTTTACGGACCTCATCATATATGTGTTTCATGAACTTCAGTATATGTTAGTTTTTACGGACTTCAGCACATGTGAACTTTTATGGATCTAAGCATATGTGAGTTTTTATGGACCTCAGCAGTAGTCAAATTCAAAATCGATATGGTCTGATACAAAAATCCATAATAGAATATTGTTATGATTTATTCATGAAACACTTTTGCAAAACGTTTGAACCATCCTGTAGTTGAGACAGACTTAGCTAGTCGTCATGACTAGACATAGCCTGTCATGCCATATAATACTACCATAACTTATAAAAAAAATATGTAGGATAAAAATGTAACAAAAGCATCGAAAAAAAAAGAAAAATGTAAATCTTGTACTTTTATTTATAAAAATAATCAAACAAACACCATCACAATTATTTAACATGAAATAGACAAACGTACATGGAATTAACGCTATAATAATGATGATGTATTGTATACAAATAAATCCTTCTAAAAATACAGGAAAAACATCTTTTCATATTTCATATATTTCAATTATAGAGAACTACAATAACTAGTTGCATGAATCTTGCTTAGCCTGATCCATGGACAGTTTATTTTATTACACGTTTTAAGCAATTGATATTTGGAATTTGTACTTCATTCATGAAAATTATTGTTTCAACACGACAGACCTTTAGCATGATATTTGACTGAATAAAAACTTGTAAGATAAGAAAAATATTACCAACATGCAGCAAATGTACATTGAAATATATAATTTCTATACATTATCTGCATAAAATTGTTTGCCCAATCCAGCTGGAGCATTTACAAATTTGAATAGAAAATTAGAATACATACATTCGACATTCGAGTGACCAGCACTTGAATTCAAATATATACATGCCATACACATGCAAGTTTTTTTCAGAGTCTAAGAATTTTTATCTAACTTTTATTGAATATATATTAGCTATTATCATGATTATTTAATGACGCCGAAGTCAGAGTATTTTACCTATAGAAGGTAAGATTCTCTTTTATTTGTGATTTAAGATCCAAATAATTGCTCTTATAATTCTTTATTCATTAATAACATAAAATTACTAAAATCCCTAATATATATTTGTTCTATTCTAAATAAGACAATTATAACTAATTTGACAGTTTGGTTTCTACTGATGCACTGGCTTGGGAAATGGGGGATAAACACATTTTAAAACTTTTCCCTTGGCCAAACAAATTATGTGGATGCTGATAATTATACTAAAATTGCTATTCGATAGTCTTTGAAAAAGTAAGGTGCATACACGTTTAACTCATTGCACATTACAATGTTACATTGCGGATGTATACTATTGTATATATATCATAAAAAAGTTTGACACGGTTGGACTGCGTGACTGGAATTCAATATTTGAACATAACGTTTTATCAATGAGACAGATATCTATAGCTGTAGCTAAATAAATTATTTCTTTTCCACAAAAGTATATTCGAGACCGATTTTTTTACATTAAATGATGCATTGTTTTTCGCAAATAACTGATTATGCACTGCACTGTATTAAAACAGAACCTTGTCTTAAACTTCGGTCGTTTCAAGGCTTAGTTCAAAGCCATCATTTTCGAATGAATGTGTAAAATCATCAGAGTGAAGATGACCATTGTGCATTTCGCTTGGAACCAAACTTTCACAACTAGCAGCCTTTTCCTTCTTGTACTGTTCAAGAACCATTGCAAGAGACTCATTCTCACCCTGCTGTGACTCCCTCTCATTATCGTACATGTCCATAGTAGCACCTTTCTCCTCATCTCCACGTACGGGTTCTTTCTTTGTAAACTGATTAGAATCGAATGAAGCCACACTAGAACAATAAAAGTGTACACCATTATGTCATAAAACTTTAAGGTAATCTGCATTATAGCCATCATAGGAGTTTTTTTTATAAAATAATTGAAGGTTTATGTCTTAGACATGCGGGTATTAACTTCATTCTTCCTTTTATCATATTATGTGAACCTACATAGGTTATATTTTCAAATCAACATTTTAATGAGTTATGGTTAAACATAAACATAAAGTCAACAGTTAAAATATGAAAACATGATGCAAATGATTTACATTAAGATATTTTTAGCAGCATTTGTACAAGTTGACGTAAGAGAGTTTTGACTGTTTTAGTTTGGCCATTTAAGTGTTCATGCTTTCAACCATTTAAATTTTGGCGGTCCTAATGGTTGTTTCGACCGTAACTTTTTAGGATTATATCAGGCACAGAATTTGCAAGGTACTCATATCTTCTTTTTTTAAATAATTCATTTACCTTGCATAATCAGCAAATCGATCGTAGTCGACATTGGTATATTCACCATCTTTATTCAGTAATGGATTTTGGCTGTAAATAGAAAATCAATCTAAAGTATTTTAGTATATATATTTATATTTCAATTGAATGTTATGGCAGTCGGTTTCTGACATGTGTTCTAGAAATTAAAATATTGTTATATATAGGGTACACCATGCACTTTAATGCGATTCTATGGGCATATTGATGTTTTAGTCAAATTCATTGTTAATTGGATTTAAATTCTTTGATGGTGCTTGAATTCTTTTGTTTGGTTTTAGTACTATATTTTCGTAACCTTATCTGCTCATTCAAATTGAACAGTGCTTTCATACCGTTTTGTCACACTACTTGAACTCTTATCATAAAAGCCAGATTGGTTTTTATTATGTAGGTTGCATATCAGTATTGCACTATTTATATGTCAAGTCACCCTGCAGTGTGTTTTTTTTTGTATGGCTAGTCACCCTACGTTGTGGTTTATTAAAAAGAAATAACAATAAACATTGTCATTGTATTTCTAAATGGTCGATGGTTTGTTACTGAATAGCCACATAAAGTAAATCTAAGATCTTTTCTGAAAAATCCCCAAGTGCGATCACTTTAACAAGCAGTGATAAGCGGCTAGCCAAATAATCAATAAAGCGTTTATTTTTAAATGACAACGTACTTTCTAGCATAAACATTCGTTCCTGGGTGAGTCTCTGTTCCACCTTTGTCCTGATCTAAAAAGTGTCAATGTAGTAATTTAAAATTGTGTAGTATATACAAAACCTATTACCAATTTCCGAATAAAAGAAAAAAAAACCCACTTATCGATAACTCTCGATTCCAAAAGTCTAGAATGGTAAAAATTAAACGTTTACGTGCATAAAAACTAAAGGACAAAACAAACAAATTCAGTCAACTTTGTTTGTAGAAATTGCAATATTAGTTTGTGTATAATTTCTAAAAAAGGACATCCGTCCGGTAATCATTTACACTTTGTTTTTATGAAAATCGCTAATTATTTCATTTTCATTGACCGTTTAGCTTATTCATTTCTATCTTCTTTCAATGGAAAACATTGTCATTCTAACGACCAGAAAGAGCAATGTCAAATTACTTGGATGCCATCGTATCAAATTCCACAAAAAAAAAAACAAACAAAAAACAACAGAGGATATAATGCTAAATTAAACTATTTAGGATACAGTTTATGTAAGGGCGTAATTTACTTACCTCCTGTTGACTTTGTTGTAGCTGCTTTCAATTTGTGTTGGTATCTTAAATAATGTAAACAATAGCATTTATTTTTCTTATGTAACAAAAGTCAAACAAAAATGTGACTTTGGGTTTGAAGAAGACATGACCAAATTATATAATTATTTACTTTACAGAACAATATTCAATTCAATTATACTGAAAATTAAAGGATCACTCTGGAATGCACAGTAAAGAAAACTGAACCATTATATGCAATTTAAAATGGTTTGTCAAAATGTGTTTGTTTTATACTGTTTTATCGAAAACTGTAGGAAGAATATATTCAGAACGAGTTTCTGCAAGCTTCTGAGTACAATGTTTTCAAATTTTAACCTCTATTATGAGGGAATACAATATACAAAATTCTCTTTAAACTTTAGATAAAATCTAATGTCTTTCTCGAATTCCAAAAACGTTCAAAGTATTTTTTAAAACGAAACTCGGACAAATGAATTGCATTTCTTCATTTAATGTTTGCCTGTCTCTAGTAAAAACATTGTATACCAATTATTCAAGGACTGATGAGTTATTAAATTCAAGTTCGAATTGTTTCATAATTATTAATCAATATTCTACTACTTTCTTGTTGAGTCAAGTTCGACTTTTTCATAATTATTAATCAATATTCTACTACTTTCTGTTCTGTTTCCATGTCTTACAAAATGTACTAAGAAAGGATTTAAACCAACAGTACCTTGATGCGCTACTACAAAAGCAGAAACCAATCAACAAGTTTGTAGCTCCAAGAAGTGCAATCACAGCGATCATAATATATGTGGTTTTAATACCGCCTTCATCATCCTGGGCTTGAGTTTCTGTATATGTCTGAAGAACAATAGTCATGCTTTTAACAAAGGAACCATTTAAATTATTCAATTATATACAATGTACACGTCTTCTTAGCACTTTTATATGGTAAAACATTTCAAATCGTTCATTAACCTTTAATCAACGAGACAACATTGATGTGACCGGTTGTACAAAGAATACTATGAATAAGGAAGTTTAGCTAGCTATAAAACCAGGTTAAATTCGCCATTATCCGAAGTTCAGAAAATGCCTGTATCAAGTTCCGTTGGTTTATATAGCCTGAGACAGGCCTGATAACGAAAACCCTATGGCTGCACATCATGTAAAGGGTTAAATCTGAACAAAACATAACTTTAAACAAAATGAACTTGGTCAACACAGGAAGTTGCGTTTGCCTTTATAATCATGTATACAAAGATGCAACAATTGTTCGTGAAATTTCACTGTTTTTTTTGTACAATTTGACAAGTACCTTAGCAGCTAAAATACTATACTGCTTTAAAATAACTCCAAGTTGGCTGGAATATTTGTCGAATAACCTGAAAAAGAAAAACAATTTTTCATAACTGCTGAATACCAGTATTCAAATTCAGAGAAAACAACACATTTCATACATTTTATGTTTGATTTCTGTAAATAATTTGACTTGAAAATAAACAAATCTTTCAGTTGACATGTCAATTTCCGTTTTCATCATTTTGAATCAATGTTAAACAATCTGATATTTGCGGACTTTTATTTATAAAAAAATTGTTCCCAAGTCGTGTTTGTGTTGTTTTTTCTGTTCCTGTTCAGTATAGACAACATTATCATTAAGGACTTAAATATAAAGTCATACGACTCGGTAGGTCTTTTCACCACCGAACACCACCGCACACCGCCGAACACCAACGAACACACCAAAAATATACATTTTTTTTCTTATATCGTTATAAATGTGACCTAGATATAATATTTAAGTTAATAATTCTACAAATAATGAGAATAAGAGACCAAATATCTACATCGAACAGAAAAGGAGAGTCTATAACACCACGAACTCCGCAAACCACCACTGAACACCCCAAATATCTGTATTCTTTTTAATTTTTCATTATAAATTCGACATAGCTGTAATTTATTATTAAATAGTTGTACCAATAAGAAAAAGAGACAAATATCAAAATCTAACCAATGAACAGAGATCGAGGATACTTGAACTGATCACTAACGACTTCATAAAATGCAAAAAAAAAAAAACCCAAAAAAATCGAAAGCATTGTGAAGCTTTACAAATTTGATCAAATGTCAAGGTTAAAAAAGAAAACTTGAATACATGATGAGTTATGTGACAACTTTTGCCTCGGGAGTTGGAACCATAATCATTTATTTTATCAACAGTACTAATATTTTAGAAAAATATTAAAAAACAAACAAATTTATTGAAATTTACTGAGCAGTGTTACATATTTCTTGTATTGTCATTTTCTAATATTCTATTTTGTGTTTGATGTCAGAATTTAAAAATAAATAAATACATATATAAAAAAACGTTATCCTCCTTATCTTATATAAAAAAAAACATAACATTATTATAAGAAAACAGTTCCTTTATATTGTGGGTAAAATCTCATTTACAAAGTTCTAAAAATCTAAGACGACTCCGCAATATTTCCACCTGCTATTCGACTGAAAAAGACGAAAAAACAAAACCCAAACAAAATAAAAAACGAAAAACGAAAAAATGAGAATAGTAACAAAGATATATTAAACATATATTATAATGTCAAAGGTCAACTCTCAAACTGGATCTTTTCTCTGTTTAAGGTCGGAATGTGTTACTAATAACGTGTATTTTGAGACATAGAGTGTCTTAGCCCTATGTGTAGTTTTCCTTTGCCACATTTGGAGTATTTGGTTTTCAATACTTTGAAACTTTGTAATTGATTTGTGTTTCCAACAACTCAAATTCTATTGACATTGTTGAGTTTTGTGTGTGCTTAAGCCAATAATTTACAATGAGAACATTACGTCCTTTTACTTGACACAATCAATTTATGCTTTTTGGTGGTTTTCTGAACACAGCACCATTAAGTTTTATAAGAACTGTTTATCCTGTTCTCATGTTTGTTTCATATAACTTTTATATCAAATGGTTGACTTACTGAATGGCGTCTTTTGCGCTAAGAATTGTTCCTGTTTTAGGATCAGCAACATGGAAATCTAGATACGTGCTGAAAAGATTGTAGGAAGAATATTTTCAAATGTCATTGACTGATTCATTGTCGATGCAACAAAACAACCTGCACCTTTTTTTTTTTAAAGTACACAGTGTTTGTTCTATACCATTAAGCCAACATACTATAAGGTTATCACTGCTTACAAATAAACATAGTACTCAAATAAATAAAACGCAGATCAGTAAACAAGTCCCTTAAATTTTATTATATCCTGGTGGGAGATTTTCGTGGATTGTACGATCGTTTTAGTTCATCGTTATCGTTCAAGGTAGTATGACGTATAAATAGAATAAATTGCTCATATAAGATAAAAGCAAAAAAAACAAACAATCTTGTTGACATAAATAATCATTGATATTGCCATATGTAGAAATTGACTCATTACAGAACTTTAAATTGTTCAAAATACTGAGGATTTTCTGCTCCAGGAATAGATCGCCTTAGCTGTACATGACAAAACCTTTCTGAATTTTGCAACTACAATGGTCTTCAACTTCGTACTTTATTCGGCCTTTTTAACTTTTTGGTTCAAGCGTTACTGATTAATTTTTGCAGACCGAAATGAGCGTCTTGCGTACGAAATTTCAATTCTTTTATCTATCAGTTAATCATTCTACATAAATACCCCATTGTCAAAGAAGAAGAAAATAAAAATCAAACCATAGAATATTTATCCATGATGCTTATTGTTTTTGCTACAAAACTTCCATATGATGTATGTTTATGTGAAAACGCTTGACTACTTCGTCCACATAAAGCAATACACTAGTAATATTTGGCACTCCTAAATCAAAACTTCGAATGGAAAGAAATGATATGGTGTATCAATTCATGATACAAAATAAACTACATGCTCATGATAAAAAAAAACCCAAAAGCAAAGGAACATCGCTTTTATTGTTGTTCTTCTTCTCAGAGTAAATCACAACAAAACCTTTAATATGAACAAAAATTCTCACCTAACAGCAAGTACAATACAGCCTTAGGCCTCGGTGGTTTTGTTTGGTCTAAATATCGATCATGCTAAATCTGTGTATAACAGATAACGACTGTGGGATTAAATCAACACAAATAGAAAATGACATCTTACATGTAATTAGACATTATTTTGATTCACCACTGATTTTTACCTTTGAAAAGTTCCCGTATTAAAGGGACGAATACCATCAGCTGTAAAATTTTGCCCAGTTAACTCGGTTAGAATTCTGAAATATATATATTAAAACTTTATTTTGTATCGTGAGACATGTTATCTTTAGTCAGTAAATCAGTAGACATGAATTTGAGGATAAAAAAATACACAATTTTAATTAAGAAGAATTTTGGGATATTAGAAACTTTTTTTCCCTATTATTGTACAAATGCTACGCTGAATAAGCGAAACGAGATACAAAATTATTAAATATAATGCTATTTTCTAAACACGTTTTTCCCTTATTTATGAAAAAAGGGTAACAAAATAAATTGATTAGATGATTGATTGCCTTTAACACTTTGAAGGTATTCTTAAAAACTATATATGAATGACCTGTTCAAGTACCTCTATATCAGCAATATCGAAAAATAAATTTCTCCTCATGGGCAAATCTAAATAAGAAGTGGTTTTCACGTTACATGTTCAATCCAGAAAGTAGAAAATAAACATCTCAGTATCTATCGTATAATTCTAAATCTTTTATTGACTAAAAAATGCAGAAAATATAAGAATTACAACACTGCATGTTTGGTTCACATACCTCATCAAATCCGCTTTAATGCCTTGTACATATTCTTTATTACCATTAATTAATATCGAGCCAGTCTGATAGTCAGAGATGATGTAAATCTGAAATTGATATTTCGTTATATGAAAAATGACCTAATAGTACTATATGCTGTTATTCTATTTGAGATCAACTCTAAACGGTCAACCGTTTCTGACTAGTTGAATTTTCGTTTTAACCAAATGTTGCTTGAATTGGGTTGTCTGATATCTATTTTGGATGTTATAACGTGTTTTTGTCAAAAGTGTATATCACCACCGATTGTTAAATTTTCGCTTTTCAAACATTCAGACATTAAACTATCTCGAATTATACATAATATCAATCAATTCAGATTTTAGGTAAAATCCATGTTTTTTTCCCCTGATAATTAACTGATTTGAAATTCCGTTGATCAATTAATGAAACTTTTGAAAGCTAATATGTGGTTTGCATGTTCCCCATTCTTCATTGGTCAAAATTCAATCATGGCGTCAAATTTGAAAACTGTCCTCTATTTTTTTCTGTCTTCACAGTAATTGAAGACTCACCAAAGACACAAAGCTTATTATAGCGCCTTCAATTATTTAAAAACAAATTCTATTGTTGTATCTTGTGTAATATGATATTTCTCTAATATCGACAGTATAATTCTTAATATTCAGTTGGAACTAACCACGATTAAAACAACATCTGGTCCTGCACTTATTAAGTTAAGTTATTGTACATTACTTGAAATCTTATTATCTAAATACAATATATCTAACCTAACACATATTTGTTTTGGTCATTGTTCTCTTAGTCCTTATACTGGGTTTTTACAAAAACGAGTTATCGTGGCTAAGAGAATATTCTGAATCAGTATCATAAAATAATACTGAGAATGGAAATGGGGAATGTGTCAAAGAGACAACAATCCGACCATAGAGCAGACAACAGCCGAAGGCCACCAATGGGTCTTCAATGCAGCGAGAAACTCCCGCACCCGAAGGCGTCCTTTAGCTGGCCCCTAAACAAATATGTATACTAGTTCAGTGATAATGGACGTCATACTAAACTCCAAATTATACACAGGAAACTAAAATTAAAAATGATACAAGACTAACAAAGGCCAGAGGCTCCTGACTTGGGACAGGCGCAAAAATGCGGCGGGGTTAAACATGTTTTTTGAGATCTCAACCCTCCCCCTATACCTCTAGCCAATGTAGAAAAAACAAACACACAACAGTACGTACAGTAAAACTCAGTATAAGAGAAGTCCGAGTCCGATGTCAGAATAGGAAATAAAAAAAAATAAACAAAATGACAATAATACATAAATAACAACAGACTACTAGCAGTTACTGACATGCCAGCTCCAGACCTCAATTAAACTGATTAAAAGATTATGTCTTCATCATATGAATATCAGGCACAATCCCTCCTGTTAGGAGTTTAGTATTATACCGTCATAAAATATGTGAGAAGAACATAACCCGTGTCATGCCAACAACTGGTTTTAAAATAAATGTGTTTAATTCCGATGCAAAGATGCACATTTCATTATAAAACTTTTAATTTTTTATTCATCATGTTAATATACATACACGGGAATAAAGAATAAATCGATAATTATTGACTCCATTGGTTGTACAAAAAGCTAGCCATGTTAACAACCTCAGCTAATTTTGATCCTCAATTTTTACACATACCCTAAGCATTGTCGTACTGTTTCCTGCAGCATCCTTCACCATTAATGGAATGTTTATGTAACCTTTCATATTTTCCTCAAGTTGTATGTTAGTACTAACTGTCCCGTTCCCTGTCACACATATCGGGTTTTTTTCGTTATTTCCGGTGCACGCTTTTATTTTGTTTGTGTTCAATAGTTCTTGAATCTTTTGTTCTAACATGGTGTCACTGGAATACGTTAACTTTCCATTCACCCTAAACTGATGAAAGGAATATTCCTCTGAGTCTGGATCGGGCTTTACACTTTCCTGTAGAACAAATACAAGTCAGTAATACACTTTTGATGGATTGATATGCGATGTAGTACATACAGACCACTTTCACATACCTTGAAATGTTAATGGAATATATTTGCAATCAAACACAAATAAAAAAAAGCTGAAATACTTCCGTCGTTGAAAATCTGTCGTTCATCTGTTTCATATAATTTCAGTCAATAATTATCATTAGGCATCTTAAACACATTTGTGGTATGAACTCATGTTACTGAACCTTAGTTTGAAAAAATAGTTCATTTATAATTTGTTTAAAATTATTTAGAATATAGTTATTGCCCAGCAATGAAATAAGCCACCTAGAGACAAGTCATGTTTTCTCCTCAGACATGAATTAATAAAGTATTTTTTATTGATTTATTTTTCAATCTATGAACAAATATGTTTCGTATAGGTATCCCAAGACATATTGATTATTGTGTATTTTCTGGTTAAGATATGACTTTTTCAATCCACAAAAACTCCCTCGAAAGAGAAAAGACAATAAAAAAATTATTCAAAACTAGGAATTTAGACAATATGAATATTTACTAGAAGTGGATTCAATATCATCAAGAGTACTTGCCTTTAAGTCATATATAAATGCCTCAGTTTTTCCAGTTGTAATAGTTCTCCTGACACCTATACTGATATAACTACTTTTGAATATTGGTGGGTTATCATTCTGGTCCAATATTTTGATATTGACAATCGTGGTAGTTGAATTATTTTGTGAAAATATGGAATCATAACACTGAACACTTGCGTTAGTTCCACTTGTATCAACAGCTTCTATTACAAGAGATACCATTGCATTTGTAGTGTTTTCTCTATCCAATTCTTTGATAATTTTGATTGTACCACGATTAGGGTCAATTGTAAACGATTTACTCTCATCTTTTTCTGAAAAAAAAAACAAAACTTATGCTATCTAATTTTACTTTACATTATTATTAGCGGTCAAAGTTATAATAACGAGAGTTGACTACTATATTTTGCTTCAAACATATCATTTGAAGTGTAAACAAAAAGTTTGCAATATCTAAAGAGTAATTCTTTATAGCAATGTACCAGTGTTTCTGCATCCAATATTGAATGCTACTAAATATAGAAAGCCATTAAAATTCAAACGTATCAAAAGCGCTTGACACAATTTTACCGTTCTAGTACATATAAATGGATGAAAAAAAAAACAATTATCAATTTAATTTCCAACTACATAGTCCACTATGATGTACTAAAACATATGGAGAAATAAGTATTCTCACTTCAAATTTTCCCAAATATTTTTTTGTTAACAGTTGGAAAGCAGGTCACGGTTTGACCCCAAGTCTATCAGCAACAATACACCTTATCGCTATTTGGAAAGCTGTCCCGCTTGACCCGAGAATCTGTCCCGCTTGAACTTTTGACGTCATACAACAATCACTTTTCCATTGTGGCGTCAGATATTTTCTATTATGACGTCAAAATTTTACGGGAACGTTTGTGATGTCCAGTAATGGCGGACAAATAGCGATAAGGTGTATAGAGTCACGTGACCGTGAACATTCAGTAAAATTACGGATGAGACAAACCTCACATTTACTCACTAAAATTCCACTGTCATGGTAAAAACTAATTGATCAAAATAATCTTGAATATACATAGTTTTAACTCGTCAAAACTTACACATCAACTCAAAGTCCTTTATTCTTTATTTTATCTTCAAACTTGAAGAATGAAGTTTGTGTGAAAATTGTCCATGCTCCTGATCGAAAAATCTAAATATTTTCGAGGAAACTAAAAATGATGGGCTGAATTTAAATTTAATAAAGCATCTCATTAAGACAAACACTCGATATGAATATCTAGGCAATACAGTTTTGGATACGCAAACGTCAAGTTATGTTCAACACGAAGCGGTGGTTTTTTGCCGATTTGTGCAAGTGGTTATCTCCCCTTGATACCACCAGTCAAAAATAAAAAAAACACCAAAATGAATAAAAAGGAGTTTATTTTACAAAAATCAAGAAGAAAATAAAAGGAAGTCGATTAACAACTATGTTATTATAATATTAAGAAGAGATACTTCCCTACTTTTCAGAGAAGGATTACAGGTAAAAATTAAAAGACAAAAAAATGGTAAAAATAAGATCTAGAAACCTAGCTGAACTGATATAAATTAGCTCTGGCTGATGACATTTACTTTCAGTTTGCAATTTTTATAATGGGATATGGGATCACTCCTAATGGATTTTTTTAACTACTTCTAACAATGTTTAATGCAAAAAAACATACTGTATACAATTTAAATAATCTTTCTGAAAAAAAATAGTACTGACCATTTTATATATTTTATATTTTAATATAGATTCTAGTGGGACCAAGAGTCAAAATTTAGTTTCTTCAAAGTAAAAAAGCCTTTTAACTCAAGCCTATGTTTCTTAGTTGAACAGTACAGTACAGCCTAGAAAATATCCTACAGAAAAAGGAAAAGTTTACCAAAAAAATGACAAAAATTCTGTAAAAAAAATGCTTAAAATTATAAGTGAAAGTGACATAATTTTGAATTTAAAAAAAATTATTATTGTAAAATTCAACTATTAGATTAGCTAGCACAGTAGCCTTTGTCCAATTTCTCAGGGTATTTTATAGATTATGAAAGTAAACTCTTTGAAAAAAAATGGGGCTTCTTCTCTTCAGGTTGCTGTATCTGCTGCTTTACATATTTATTAACAAAGTATTGTATATTTTATCTGAATAATTGGATATCAATCTCAGAAATGAAAGTTGGTATGACAAATCTTGTGCATTTTACTTTAATAATGATCAATGATGATTAAATTTGACAAGAATTTGCCATTTGAATAAATTCAATTTTGTAAGAACACATCTCTATGAATTAATTTCTTGTTTGACTTGAAAAGCTAGTGTTTGCTCTTATTAATGTAGCTTACTTAGTAAAGAGATAATTAATAAGTAAGGTTTTTAACTTATAAAATATAAATATAATTAACTGACCTTCATTTCCTTTTTTTAATGTTTTTTCCTCCAGAAATTTTCTTTGCAATGCATTTTCTATTGCTATTTTTGTGCTTTTGTTTATCCATGGGCCATCATTAATTTGTCATATTTGCTTCCAGTATCCCGCAATGGTGGTAAGTCGTGCACTTAAGGACATTTTTTATTTTATTTTTCTGTAGACTTTGCTTTGTTTTTTTTATTACTGTGTATTGTCAAGCTTGGTTACTCATTATTGTTTCTCAGTCACTGAATGTACGATGTTGTTCCGTACTGGAGCAGCTGACCCGGTTTGTTTACGTTCAAATTCCAATGGCGTAAAAACCACGTGATGCATTGAATCGTTATACCCAATCAAATTGCTCTATTGTCAATTAGGTGATTTTTTTAGGCTAAGGCAATTATATTATTTATTTGTATGATAGTTCTTTGCAACTGTTTTTAATGAATTGGGAATTGATTTAACCGGGAACATCATTTATTACCATGAAAATCGAAATCAATGGAAATTTTCAGAGAGTTCACCAGTGGTGATTTTTTGGCATAAAAATCCAAATGCAATTTCTTTGTTAAATGAGTACAACAATGAATCAGAAAATGATTTTTATTTTTATTTACCAATTACTCTACACCTTTCTCACAGAACACACACATGAAACTGTCACCCCTTCTAATAACTCTCACTTTTGTACAATAAATAAGATGCACCCACCTCTCACACTTCTCACATTGTGCCCACTTAGTAAATATCAAACTACTACTCTGTCTCACCTGCTCTGGAACAAACTTCTTACATACACAGCACTTTTCATCCTCTCTTATTTCAGACTCACTCTCACTCTCACTGTCTATTGCCCACTCACTTACACATTTACCCACTCCACTCGTTCCTGGCTTCTGTGAATCACTCTTGCTACATTTTACAATTTTTTTCTTCTCTTGCTCTCTCTTCCTCTTACACCCCACAGATCCATTCTGGCCTTTCTTACTACTTTTTGCACAGCTTTTATTCACACTACTATCACTTGCTTTCTTCCCAGGATTCTTACTCACATGCTCTTTTACCCTCTCTAACACATCATCCTCTGTCACAGTCTTTCCACTAATAACCCTGCTTAACACATTCCTCTTCTTTTTTTTCTCCCCTTTCACTCTTTTCATTGCCACTACCTTCTTTACAAAAAAATCACTCTTACTCCCTTCATCTCTTCCAACTACATCTATCATTCTACCACTCACACTCACAACACTCTCATTCTCCTTGTCACTCTCAACTTCCTCTCTATTACTCACAACACTCCTAGCTACCTCCAAACCAATCTCTCCTTCCCTCAGAACACCCACATTCTCCTTATCACTCTCAACTTCCTCTCTTTCAATCACCACACTGTCATTCTCATTCTCTCTCACAACTACCGCACTGTTAACAGCTTCTACAGTCTCTAGTACAGTGTTCTCAGGATGGTTTTCAATGTCACTTATAAATGCCTCTGATGGTGTCAGTGGTAAGTCATTGATAATGTCTTTTGTGAACGGAAAAATTCCTGTTTTTCTAAAAGCTGACTGCAAATTACTGGCTGATAAGGCATTTCCGTAAGCTTTGCATGCCATGCTACAAACATCATAACGAGTTAGTGCACATTGTTTTGTTCTGATAGTTCTATGACAAAGGCTGTTGTATATATTTTGCAGAGGACCATAACAACCTACATCCAACGGTTGCAAAAGATGGCTGGTGTGTGCTGGAAGTAACTGTATAACAATGTTATGACGCTTTGCCCATTTAATTGTGCTAACAGCAACATGAGATTTATGTCCATCTAACAATAACATCACATGCCCATTACCTGGAACAAATTTCTTGAAATGATTACTGAGGAAATCCATGAACAGTTCTGAAATAGACCAACCGGTCTTAGAGACAGTGCCAACTGTTCCTGGTGTAGACCCCTCTAGCAACTGATCATTCATTCTCTGTCCTGGGAAGACAAAGTAAGGGGGTAATGCATTGCCAATTGCATTTCCACACCCCAAGATAGTCACAGTGTCACCCTTTCCAGATGTAACCTCCTGTGATGATGTCTCCACTCCTGACACTACCTTTGATGGGTTGTGGTTGATGGTTACACCCTTCTCATCAACATTGTAAATCAGATGGGGTTTGTCCATAAGATCATATTTCAGTAGGGCTTTCTCGAGTTCATTAAAGTACTTCGTAATGTTCTCCTTGTTGGCAGCTTTTGCTCTTGCAACCTCCAATGCCCTTGGTTTTACAACTTTGAGATCTGGCCATCTTCCAAGCATTCCATAGAACCAGGTAAGAGTTAGAGGTTTATCATTTTTAGTTTTCTTGTCAAGCATAACTGCATAGTCAGTAGCTATATCCACAACTTCCTGTCTGTTATATCCATATCCAAGTTGAGCCATTTCCTTCAAATGTATCACCAACCGGCTTTCTTCATCTAATGTAAAAAAAGGTGCATTGCCCATAGTACGACACTCAGGATCTACATTTCCAGTTACCCTATCCCTAAGAGTTTGAAATGGTACACCATAAGACTTTGAAGCTCTATGGATAGATAGTTTATCAACCATTATTGCTGAATATGCACGTGTTAATGCAGTTGGAGAATAGGTCCTGTATTTGGCTTTCCCCCCTGGTTGATGAACTTGATTGATCTACAAATATAATACAAAAAGTTATTAATTATACTGACCCATTTGTGTTTAAAAAACAGAAAGAAGAAAAATTCAGTAAAACATTTGATATGTATCTAGGTCAAATTTACTTTATAAAACTAAAGAAATTGTTCTTAATGCAATTATTTTTGTTTTTTGAAATATTATCTACCTTGTGTTTACGTTTTACAAGCTGATGTTTCCTATTTCAAGTATTTTATTGTTAGTTTTAATATGCACATTCCACCATTGATTTGGTTGTAATTTGTGTTTTTCTCATCTCAGTTTGACATATTTTCCCGTAAAATTAATAAAATAATGTAAGGTGCTTGCTATATTGAAAAGACGTAAAAAACAATTTGGTTGGCCTTACAGGAAACGGATATGAGTTCTGACCTGGAAAAATATGTAAACAAAAAGGTGGATGCCGGGACTGGGTTTGTTTCTCACTATAAATACGATTTTAGACCTGTTGATAATTGTTTTCAAAAGAGGTTAAGGAAAATGGCACTTTTATGAAATTATTATATATTTTTAATCATACATACCTTTAGGAATCTCATTTTTTTGAAACGAGTTGATTTCAAGTGAAGCTGATACTTGTACGCTGTGAAATGTGAAAAGTGACGTCAGAGCGGAGTTTATTCACGAGATAAATACAACCAAAAAAAGCGAACGAATTGACAATATGACCGATTATAGACTACGGTAGGATATAAATGAAATTTTCTTAGACCTATACTATAGTTTCAAACGCCATAAAGAAGAACTTTGTTTGTTGTTTCACTTGTCCAATGTGTAAATTTTCACTATGCACATGACCCTGACACATATTTTGTAAACGTTATATGACGTATGTTGAAAAAGAAAACAATGTCACCGTCAATTTGTGTAGGGGATCAAAAAGGGTTTTAATTACTTTAAAATGGAGGTATCGTATGGAATTGTGAAAAACAACAATTTTTAATCACAATTTCATTCATATCTATAATAAAATCAGTATTTTAGAGTACTTTGGAAACTGGTACAATGAAAAGAAGTTGAACTTTACTGTTTTGAAGTAGAAACGCAGCCAGAACCAGGTACAAATTGACATGACTGGTGGTCACCAAAATTGATGTATAATAGTAAAAAATGATGGCTTCAAAATTGTGTAGAAATTTGAAATAGTTTACCCGGTTTCATTTAAGATTATTACTGTTCTCTTCCGTATTTGGATACGCAAACGTCAAGTTATGAAAAATTGATGTTTTTGGCGAACAAAAAAGATGGCTGAAATTTTTTAGAACGGACAGGATAAAGAAATAGCAATAACAAGCTATTTTTGATAATGTTTGTATGAGTTATTTAATCTATATTGGTCGCAAAACCTACAAATTTTAAAATTAACGAAATCCATCTTTTCTTTCTCGTGTCAAAACGAAGTTCTCGAACAGTATGACCAAAATTATCTTAAACATAAGGGAACACTATTTATATCCATATATTACCATGCAATATACATTCTAGGTTTACTACATGTACATGTATTTACTCGTATAGCAAATAAAGTATCGGGGCTAGTGATAAAAACTAGAGGCTCTCAAGAGCCTGTGTCGCTCACCTGACTCTACTTTGGTTTTAGAAATCATGTAAAGATAGATAAAAATCATAACAGATACCCAAATAATGATTGAGGCCAAATTTTGATTAATATTGGTCCCGTTATTCAATAAAATATCCTGGTGGCCATCTTGAACAGTAAATCGGCAACAAAGTAGCAACACTTGGTCAGCACTTCAGAAGGAACATTCATGCCATGTTTGGTTTCATTCCATTCAGTGGTACTCCAAAAGAAGACATTTGTATGTATTTCCAATAGGGTCCTATGTTAAACTAAGCCCCCCCCCCCTAGCGGCCATCTTGGATGATGGATCGACTGCAAAGTAACAACACTTGGTCTGCAACTCATAAGGAACATTCATGCCATGTTTGGTTCAATTCCATTCAGTGGTTCTCTAAAAGAAGACAATTGTATGTATTTCCCATAGGGTCCTATGTTAAACTAAGTCCCCCGCTGGCGGCCATCTTGGATGATGGATCGGCTGCAAAGTAACAACACTTGGTCAACATCTCATAAGGAACATTCATGCCATGTTTGGTTCCATTCCATTTATTGGTTCTCTAAAAGAAGACATTTTTATGTATTTCCCAAAGGGTCCTATGTTAAACTAAGTCCCCCGCTGGCGGCCACCTTGGATGATGGATCGGCTACAAAGTAACAACACTTGGTCAGCATCTCATAAGGAAGATTCATGCCATGTTTGGTTTCATTCCATTCAGTGGTTCTCTAAAAGAAGACATTTGTATGTATTTCCCATAGGTCCTTTGTTAAACTAAGTCCCCTGCTGTCGGCCATCTTGGATGATGGACCTACTGCAAAGTAACAACACTTGGTCAGCACCTCATACGGAACATTCATGCCATGTTTGGTTTCATTCCATTCAGTGGTTCTCTAAAAGAAGACATTTGTATGTATTTCCCATAGGGTCCTATGTTAAACTAAGTCCCCCGCTAACGGCCATCTTGGATGATGGATCGGCTACAAAGTAACAACACTTGGTCAGAACCTCATAAGGAAAATTCATGCCATGTTTGGTTTGGTTCCATTCAGTGGTTCTCTAAAAGAAGACATTTGTATGTATTTCCCATAGGGTCCTATGTTAAACTAAGTCCCCCGCTGGCGGCCATCTTGGATGATGGACCGACTGCAAAGTAACAACACTCGGTCAGCATTTCATAAGGAACATTCATGCCATGTTTGGTTCCATTCTATTCAGTGGTTCTCTAAAAGAAGACATTTTTATGTATTTCCCATAGGGTCCTATGTTAATCAAGTCCCCCGCTGGCGGCCATCTTGGATGATGGATCGGCTACAAAGTAACAACACTTGGCGAGCACCTCATAAGGAACATTCATGCCATGTTTGGTTCAATTCCATTCAGTGGTTCTCTAAAAGAAGTCATTTGTATGCATTTCCCATAGGGTCCTATGTTAAACTAAGTCCCCCGCTGGCGGCCATCTTGGATGATGGATCGGCTACAAAGTAACAACACATGGTCAGCACCTCATAAGGAACATTCATGCCATGTTTGGTTTTATTCCATTCAGTGGTTCTCTAAAAGAAGTCATTTGTATGCATTTCCCATAGGGTCCTATGTTAAACTAAGTCCCCCGCTGGCGGCCATCTTGGATGATGGATCGGCTACAAAGTAACAACACTTGGTGAGCACCTCATAAGGAACATTCCTGCCATGTTTGGTTTCATTCCATTCAGTGGTTCTCTAAAAGAAGTCATTTGTATGCATTTCCCATAGGGTCCTATGTTAAACTAAGTCCCCCGCTGGCGGCCATCTTGGATGATGGATCGGCTACAAAGTAACAACACTTGGTCAGCACCTCATAAGGAACATTCATGCCATGTTTGGTTTCATTCCATTCAGTGGTTCTCTAGAAGAAGTTCAAAATGTAAAAAGTTAACGCCGACGACGGACGACGACGGACGACGCCGGACGACGGACGCCAAGTGATGAGAAATGCTCACTTGGCCCTTCGGGCCAGGTGAGCTAAAAATAAAATAGGCGCTAATGAAAGAATCAAATCGGCGCAAATTAAAGATCGAATTTTTTTTTAAATCGGCGCAAATCTCGTACGCCCGTGTAACTTTACACTGGTAGATTTATATGACTTACGCTTAGAATTTTAACTTAATATGTGATTTTAAAAACTGAGTTTTCAGAAGGTTAGGCCGATAAACAATACTTTCTAGAAGTTTCGATATACTGGCAACGTATGCATGATGAGATTAACTTATTTCTTTAAGATTCTCGTAAATTAATGGTGATCTTGCAATGAAGTTAAATTTTATCTATACTGCTTAATTGACAAAATCTTATAGTAAAAATAAAAATGATAAAGGTACATTGTATTTTGTCTTTTGTTTCATTTCAAATTGTCTCAAGGAGAAATGATAAAAATATAAGAAATTAATATACTGAGTGAATGTGAATTAAAATAAAAATTTACGGTTTTTAAAACTAAACTTGTTGTAAATTTAACTTATGACAAAAACTATTGCTTCAAGAATAAGATCCAACATAAAATTTCTCACTTTCAAAAAGCTACAATGACCGGAAAGATTGAAAATAAATTTCGATTTTCAATGCCGGCAATCCGGCTATACATACAACCTTGTCTTTGTTTTAATTTCAAAAGTGAGCTATTTAGATTCATAATATTTCATCCTGTTTTGAGAAATACTTTATAGTTTTCAACGGAAAATTATTTCTTAGATTCTAAATCAATTTTTGAATTAAAAACTTATTTGTATTTTATATTTACTGTCTCGTTTATTCAAAACACGTGAGGTAGTAATAACGGGGATCGTATTTTATGATAGGTTAAATGGATGTAAAACGTTTTAGAATCAAAAACTTTAATTCATATATTATACCTATAATTTTAATTTTCTTATATTTTAAATATTTGAAGAAATAATGAATCCACAAACTAGATGGAATAATTTGTATACGCTCGTCTTAGTCGGGACACATAATGGTATAAAGAAGTCCGTCCGTGCTAATGTCTGTCCGTCTGTCAATAGTAGCGAAAGTGTGCGCTAGGGCAAAGTTCTGAAATTGACGCGACAAAAAAACCCACACATCTAGTCTAATATAGTCAAATAGTCTGTAAGTAATTATCTTTCATTTCTCTTTTTATTTTCAATGATTTTGCTAATGAGATGGAGAGGACAAAAACAGACTTTCCTTTCTAAAGCGTCGTAAAAGGTTATTTCGAACAATTTTTCATTCCGACGGATGGTGTTTCTGAAGGTTAATTTTGTGCGGCAACAACATCATGAGATCTGATACTGATACATACATGTGATCGCTTGTATTACCGGATAATAAAGTAGGTGAATATAGTTGTTATTCTTGATTTTTGAAAATTTAAATGTGGGTTTCAAACGTCCAATTTGCAATTTTTTTTCAAACCGTGCGCCAACAAGGAAAACTTGTACTATGACGTCAGATTCAATGTTCTGAAGAACGACAACTCTTTTCTTCAAAACGAACGAGAAAAAAACATGAAAATTAATCATAACTTTTTTGAAAGGTCGGTGACATGTACATTTTTTTGCTTTATTTTGAAGAGTACACATGGCACTTTCTTTCTTGAAATTTTTATGAAAAAATCACTGGTAGATATTTTTTAATACTTGAAACGTTTTTCATTCTTGCGTTTTATTTTTGGCGGGAATGAAATAAATCATATTTTTAAGATCAAAACAATAAGAGTCTTAAAGTCTTGAACCTGTATTTGATAGACACAAATCTACTGTTTAACATGAAACAAGAATTATGCTTGTAGGTTTGATATAATGGTATTTTTTGAAAGTTTAAATAACAAGCAAATATCATGTTAATATTCGGGAAAACACGAAACTGAGGTTGCTATAGTGACAAAACTAAGTCGGTGACCCCCAATTTTTTTTATCATATTTTGTTCCTCAAAACATGAAATATCTTCACACAAAATTTTAAGGAAAAATCACTGGTAGAACTGAATAGGCTGTTTGGTCTTTAAGTATGCAATGATTACTTTGACATCGTTCTAAGCTGATTTTGATTCCCCTTTTTTCGTTATTCGCAGAAATAACACTCGTAGCTCTATTGTTCTTCGCCGTTTGCTTAATAAAATGTGGATATCCAGTATTTAGTATTATTGATGAGAACTAAATTTTCGACATGAGCATAAGGTATAATATTTTTGTTTAATAGATCTGGAGTATCGACTGTTATCCATCTGATTTGACATGTGTTTCTTGCCCTGATATTTGTCTCTGAAATCTTATTTCAGATGTTCATGTCATGTATGTATCTCATGTTGATCCTGGGGACATATTTTTCGTCACTTTAAGAGGTTATATGATTTAGATTGGGCTGACTCCTTAAACGACCCATCTATTTACTGTTAAAGAATGTTAGGAAAAACTTACTTATTTTGTATTCGATAATTGAATCTTTATCAATATCTTCTGCTTTGACTGTTGTAACTATAACATTTTGAGTATTCTCCGGTACACTTGCGTTTTCTGTTGTGTGAGGAAATGTTGGAGGATGATCGTTAACATCAACAATCCTTATTTCTATATCTACCGTTGTTGATAAGACAGGCGTACCATGGTCGTATGCTTTTACACGTAGCTGCAGAAAACATGATTACTATTTTATTGAAAAATTCAATTATAAACCAATAAAGCTCTGCTGACTGCATTTTATTGAAAAATTCAATTATAAACCAATAAAGCTCTGCTGACCAAAAAAATAGAAACAAATTAAAAACAAACAAACTAACATACGAAAAGAAAAAAACGCCAAAAAGTGCATACATGCACATAATAAAATATTAAAGTTTGGGAATGTTCTTTTATTTCTATGCAGTGGTTAAATAGATGTAGTAGACTAAAACAAAGGTTCAAAAACACATTCTAGTACTAGAAAGGATCTGTCATGGCAAATAAAAATATGAAAGATAAATGAATGAGTATCTTTACTACTTTTGGAAACATTTAACAATTGGTGAAATGAGGGTTTGGGCATGGTTTAATGTAAACAAAAATCTATCGTGTAGTTGAACGGTCTTTTGATGGGAATGCAGAAAATATATGGTTTAGGGGTGCTAATTTAAACAGTTTAAGAGTGATTAAACTATTTATGACATGAGAGGGAGGAGGACATGACACCTGGAAACAACATCTAGGGTGAAATGGAAAGATTTACCATGGCTTTTAAAAATATATATAGTTCATAGTTGGGGATATGAACAGGTTTCGAGTAATTTAACAATAAATATGAAGGCTGCAGGACATTATCCCGTAATCAAAACGTATTGTGAATTTGTAAATGTGTTATGAAGGAAATACAGACTATATAGGGTTTAAAGATTTGGATCTGAACCATGTTTGGGATTTTTAACAAATTAGTATTAATGAAGAGGTCGAACACGATCCACATGGTCAAACCATTATGTGTATTGAAAATATTTTTCCAATGAAAATCAAGGATTTATATTGATTTGGGGTGAACAAATGACAAAAATCAATTATTTGACCTGAAAGGTAATTGATATAGATTAGAGATATTCAAAAACGATACGCGACACATTATCTTGAAGTGATACATCCATATGCCAAATATCAGAAGTTGGTATCAAAAGTTCAAAAGGTCGTATGAGTACCATAAGAACCGGAGGAAGAAAACTCAGAATAAGAAGAAAAATTTTCCAAAACATGATGTCTAACTATGTCAAAGGGGAGATTTAGAAACAGCTTAAGACAAAAATATAAGAAACATTATAACAAGAGTCATCGGTTATCTTTATAAACTACCTCCCACAACACTTCAGAAGTAGTGTGCATAAAAGACTCAAAATCTGTAAATGATAAACTGTGAAATTAATTTGCACCCTTACATTCCTTCAGATTTAAGGATTCTCTTTCATAGCTCATGTTCATGTTTCACAGTGAGAAAATGTTGAACACAGGTAAAAAGGTAGACAGAGGAACAAGAAAAAAACCCCCAAAAAACTGGTATGACTTTATATATTTATTAGATTATATCATATCACAGAATAGTGCAACGTTTAATGACTATAATGACTATCTATCCCAATGAACATGAACTAAAGGATACCACAGATACAGTTAAGACTGCTTCATTATTTGCCCTAAAACGTTTGTATTAGGTTTTGGACTTTCAAAAAGTTTGACCTCGAGCATCAATGAAGAGACATTAATTATCAAAATGCACATTTGGTGGAGTAAAATTAGTATCGTTAATAATATTGGCTTACAGCTAGAAAAATGAAAATAAACACCTTACAAATGTGTTGCGTCTGAAGCAATTTTCTGGATTTTCCTTCACCAGGAATTTTTATACCCAAAGCATTGAAAGCCAAGGATGTATAACAACCTCGACACGCAAAAATCTTTTAAATTGACAATGAGGGTCAGCTGAAAATTAAACATTACGAAAAAACAATTATTTTTGTTCGCATTGTGAACTTTTTTGTTTGAAGCAATATTCCAGCAGCGTCTGTATATAATATGTAAACCTCAGTTAATATAATATTCTTGAGTTCCCCTTTATGATTTCCTTGATAGATGTTTATTGCTTACAAGAACGCTATTGTATTAAGGGTTCAAAATTTAAAAGGTGAAGTCTCACCACTTTGAGAGTTTAACGGACGCCATCATGATTCGGTTGTTCAACCTGTGACCACAATTTTGTTCTCTTTTCCTCTATTGTGACATAAACGAATGCGAATTATCATCGTATTTTTATTTGCAATGATTAACGCAAAGGTGCTTCAGTACTAGTGGAACAGTTAACTCCCAGTTAATGTTGAGGTTTATGCTACTCAATCTTTACATTCCTCTCGGTGTTTTGTTACTGTTTTGTCATTTTGTCGTTTTTCGTTTTGGTCATGGTTATAGTATGTTTTCTTGGACTTGTGATTTTTGATTAGCCCTATGGTGTCTCCTATCTATTTTTTTCAGTGTTATGCTTTCAAT